TCATAAACAGAATTTAAATCAAATCTGAAATGACTACACATTGGATTTCACTTGACTTAATGGAGGTTAAATTAAGTTGTCTAAAAATAATGGATATTTTCATGACTAAGTTAAGCAGAATGTTATGCGTTGTTAGCTGGTGTTTTGTGAGAGTGACAGAAGAACACATGCAAACACAAAGATTGAACTCACTGTTGTAGCACATGAAATGAAGTTCCTTTTTACAGTTGCTCTCCACCCACTGTCCCTGGTGGGTATGGTTGAACACACTGGCGACGCAGTTACCATCATTGGGCACTTGGGGCGGGAGTGCCCAGTATGTGAACGAAGTGACTGAGCCACTGGACCAAGATGACCAGGGTTTTCTGGACAGTCCGATAAAAGCTTTCACGCCAACAGGTACTGCGTTACGCACCGCAGTGTTCTCATGGGAGCTCCTCACACTGACCAGGTTGTTGTAGTGTTTCATGCAGTACAGCTCAGCCTCCGTCCATGTCTTTGGTGTGCTGACAAAAACGTAACGCACAAAGCTATCTGGAGAAAGCATCAAAAGTGGTCAAATACTTATTGATACTTCAGCATCAGGTATATATTTTGCAGTTTTGTTATTTTTATGTTCACTCTATATGTTCTTCCCAAAATCAAACTGTGAAAATATTATACGAAATACTTTTTGACACCTAATTTCGATTAATTTTGTAAAGATGAGGAGAAATGAAATTGCACAGCTAAACGAGATAACAAAATGTCTTTGTGTAAAGATACAGTGCAATGTCATTTCCTGGATTTGTTCATCATCCAAAATATATATGAATGAACAGAAGTTATTGTATCAATTGTAGCTTTTTATATAACAAAATATATTATATATCGGAAGGCCACCTACCATTAATATATATTTAATACAAAACAACAATAATTCTAGTGATGGGTCAAGAAGACTGTGACAATATATCAGTTTTAAAGTCACAGTGCCCTCTGCTGGATTACCCGGTAATTACTCCTTGGACTTAAATGGTCAAGCGTTGTATTCTAGTACAAAAGTAAAACGTGAATGAATACTTGAACAACAGTTCAACTTGGTAGCGACACATACTTTCTCGCATCTTTGTTTGTTATTAGCAAGATAGCTGTCAGTGCTCAATAAGTAATAGCTTTCCAACACAGACGTAAGCAGTGGCAGCTGCTATTGTAGTATCTTTATTTCCAGGCTAAAGGCATAAATGTGAACCTTGTGTTTGGAATACCCAACCCGCCATAGGTTAATGATGTACACAAGCAAACATATTAGTTTGTACTCACAGCCTATGTAGTAGCAGACGAAGCTGAGTTGTGTAGTGCATGAAATGACTTCCCACAAGCCATCCTTGAAAGCCGTGCACAACAGTGGCACTCTTCTCATATGAGGCGGTTGAGGAGTGGCCCAGTTCCTAAAATAATACTCATTTCCACTGTACCAGTTTGGTCTACGAAAAGACCAATGCCACCTATAGGGATAGTCTTTCAGGCCTAGCCACAGGTCGCCTTTATAGTCACTTCCAGCAGCAGCAATCAGCCGCTCCATGTGGTCTTTGCTCTGCACCATGGCCAAATCGGAGTACATGGTTCTGCAGTACTTTTTGGCATCAAACCACGTCCTTGGTTCTTTAATGAGGCTGTAATGATGGAGGCATGAGCACAGTCCTGCAAGAGGAACAGATTGGTTTTGCCATTTTGCATTGTCAGGAGATTTCTGCTTTAATAATAATAATAATAATAATAATAATAATAATAATAATAATAATAATAGATTCTGTTTGTATAACACCTTTCAAGATACCCAAGGTGTTTTACATTTAAAAATCCATTAAACAAAACATAGATAATATACACAGTAACACTGCATATATAATTAACGAAAGACAGAAAGATCCAAAACGCAGCAGAAACTCCATAATCCCTTGAAGAACTACATTAGTTACAGCCTGTGCTCTAAACATCCAGGCAGCATACATATAATAATACTTTAATATAGATAGTTAACATATTTTGCGCTACACTCCAAAATATGTAAAAAGGGTTCTCAATCTTGGGGGGGGTGGGGGGGGGGTGTAGTACTCAACATAGTCATATTAAAAAAGGGGGTCCTGCAGAAAAAGTTTGACAACCACTGCGTTGGAGTAGGAAGTAGAGTACTCTGCACACTCAGCAGCTAATGGGGAATAAACCGCTGACTCCTCAGCTTATGCAAAAACACCTAATAAACTCTTCCACCGTTATTGGGAGTTGCTGACCCCGGCAGAAAGTCTGCAGAAGCTACTGCGATACGTTGCAAATGGCTCTGAAAAATAGCTAGCTGCAGGTGTGGTCTGCAGATCCCATCAATGGGTTTAAGCTGCGGCTGTGAAAATGTATTAACTTGTCGACTATCGCGCTTTGTCACACTTTAAAAACGCCAACACTGACCTGATAGAAGTAGGATTTGTAATGAAACCGCAGTAACACCTGCGGATGAACAAACAAATTGCACAATGAATAATTAACAATTACTTCATTGCAACACCTGTTGGAGAGTAAAAAAAGTCAATGCACTCAGCAGTTCTTTCTTCTGTCCCACTGCTCACCTGATTCCAATCCAGTTGTTGACATATTGAGGGTTTTGAAGTTTTCTCATCCAAGTCTTCACTGTCTTCTTCGTCCCATCTACACTAATTTGAACCCTTTGCTATGCAAACTCATGACGTAACAATGTCCCTTCTCCGTGTTTACCTCAAGTATCAACTTTACATTTCCAATGCAAAATGTGTAATTTTAATAAACCAGCTCAGTGCTGCCGTCTGATTTTTTTCCTTTTTTCTGGTGTCATAAAAGTGCGTTGATGATGGAGGGATGAAAACTATGGCAAAAACCTTGGAGTTCAAATACAACCCTGTTCATTTAGGGCAGTGGTAGCTAAAATTACTTGATAAATAAAGATAAAGAGATTGATCCATAAAAACATGCATTAGATGAGTAACATATTCTTTTTCGGTTCTGCATTGTTACTGTAAAGGCAAAACTGAACTACATTGAAGGTTAACATCAAAATTCTAGTTAAATGTGTTAAATTAGGTAGAATGTCTAAGAGAGTTTAAATTACATCAAAATAAATTATTTAAGTGTTGTCGGGTAATAGATAATTAGCAACAAACAGCAAAAAGCAAAAACTTAGGTAGCAACAAACAGCAAAAAGCAAAAACTTCAAGTTTCAAAAGTTCAACTAAAAAATTTAAATAAAAAGCTATGGAGACAGAAACCTGTAGTACCTGAAGGTTAGTCTATTATACTTTTGCTAAACTATATAAACATGTGGTAAGGTAATGTTACATCACACAGATGGGTTCGTGAGAAAAATAAAAATAAAACACGGAAGAGAAAATGTAATAACGTTAAAGCAAGAGGCCATGGGTGGTTAGGAAAATGTTTCCCGAAACACATGCAAAAAGGAAAATGTCGAAACACATGCAAAAAGGCTGGGATGCAAACGCTATACTAACTCCAGGTGAAGTGAATAAAATATCCTGTTTGTTTTTTTTAACATTTGTGGAACCAGGAAGTCCCTGAAATTAGAGATGGAGACAGAACCAAAACAACAGAATTCATAAGAGTGAATGTCTTTACAGTTATATGAGACAGCCGTTGTCACAGCTGAAACGCCAGCTGCTGATTTATTAACTGTATTCAAAGAATGGGTGGTGGAGGTTTAAAGACAACAAATCAACCGTTTCACTAGAGGGAGTTTGCAGTTTACTTTGGCTGATGTTCAGCTATTTCTTTAGCTTACAGTGATGCTATTTTCAGGCTGACCTACATGATCAATTGGCTTGTGGAAAATAGTCTACAATGATGTCTAGGTTAAGAGTCAGTAATTTAGGGGACATCTTTTACTGATCTTCAGTAGATTAATGCTGGAGCTTGAGTTATTTTCAAAATGTACACATTTATCAGAATAACTTTTTTCTTTGTCTAAGCTAGGTTAATTTTTTAGCTTACAACATAACAGTTATTTATAAAACAAATATTCTGATTATTTTGGTACAATGTTTTAGTTGTGGTAAGATTTTTTTAATTTGTTTTCCTTTTACTGTTTTGAGGTTTTGGGCTAGGTTTCAACTAACTTTAAGCTAACTTTTAACTTTATCTTTCCCCCTTCATTTGGCTATGTCAGATTCAAAATCAGAATATTTTTTATTATAATTTTTTATTAATTTATTATGATGTTATATTTACACGTAGAAGGAATTAGACTTGGTATGGTGGTACATTATAAAATAATAAGTTACAAGAGTTTTGTCTATCTTTTGCCAACATTTACCTAATATTAAACAAATTTTTAACAGAGTAATTGTAATTTTGTCTGTTTTTGGACAAAGATTTCACTTTTCTCTCATTTGTAGTTATATTTATTACTTTTAACTTTTGCGTATTTATTCAATAAAAAAGGAAAGCGTGTGTAATTATAATAAACTATATTTAGTTTGTGCACCCGGTGTGTTGCCAAAGTGGCAGGTTGATGAACATGATCCGCAGCATTCCTCCTCTGTTAACTTTAGATGCAGGTGTGGCAAAAATGATCAGGCGTGGAAATGTTAGGAGCCTCCACGACACACCCGTGAAGTAAATAGTCATTTTCTGTGTGTGCACTGTTTTTACACAAACACATCATCTCACGCTCCACGGACACACACTCGTATGCCATATCATGTAATCATGAACAGGACTACTGGCACTGTAACAAGCAGCTTGCTGTGGTGCAAACACTGCCATTTCCATAATATCAGGTTAAGTGAAATATAGAGACAAAGAGACTCACTCTTGGTTTGAGGAGTGAGGGAGGGCCGAGCTGATGAATAACTGTGTTGACTCGACCTCTTTTTTTCTTTCGTTTCACTGAGCTGCTGTTGTAATGCATTCATAACTCATCCACTTGAACCCAAGCGGAGAGTGTGAGCGTGTCAGCAGCAACTGTAAGTACAGGAAAACTTGCAATAACAGGTTAATATTTATTAAAATGCAAAGCTGTGTAAAATTTGACATGTGGACTTTTACAACACTCCTATACAGTAAATAATACAAATTACATGAAAAAAATGTACAGCGAACCACAGCTTTATGTTGCTAATGTTGCTAATGTTCCTAAACATATCATGTAACAGGTTGTTTCAGCAATTATACTTTTTTTTACGACTAGGCTCACAAGGCTAGTCTTATTGGTTCTTATGTTTCTTACCCGTGTATTGCTTCTGCAGTAATAATTAGGTCAAAGTCTGAAATGTTAATCCTTTGCTATGTGTTTCTGCTTAACATCTTGATTACAGCTTGTGCTGACATGAGAATGTTTCTTCTTTAACTGCCTAAATAGTACACTGCACACAGAAGTTGTTTAGCTTATCTTATCTTGGGTCATAAAGCTAGTTGTGCAGTAAAAGAAAAGTGAGTCTTTAAGGAATATCTTGTCAGCTTAGCCCTCTTTAGCCTACTATAATATAAATGCCAAGGAGCTGTACTGTACACATGTAGTTCCAATCTGGTGTGAATTACGATATGCTAGCAACGCTAATTATACAGCTAAATTAGCTGTAGCTACTAGCCAGTTTGCTAGCCTAATAAAAATAAGCATGTTAAATAAGTATGCCCCAGTTGCTGTGGTCAACAAACAATGTTAGCTTTTAAAAATGGTGGCAGTCCTACTACTTTATATAGTCCTACTCTGCTGCTCATCTTAGCAGACATAGCCTAATGTGTCATATGCGTCATAAAACAATTGTACTAGTTAATTATTTAAGTCTATTTAAGCATATATAGCTATATAATGAATTAAACCTTGTTCCTTAGCATAGCTTAGCTTATTTTAGTTTTCCTATTCCCGTAAAGCTAATCCATGGGTGAATTTGGTCTCACCCCACCAGTAAATGTATTTTTCTTGTGTTAGCACATAAAGCTATCCAGCATCCAATGGTCAGTTAGCGTAGCTTATTGAAACCTTTACAGTGAAAATGCAGAACCAACCACTGTATCTCAGTAAAGGCAATGTACAGTGAAACGTTAGCTGTGCTCTACTGTTCACTCCAAACCAATGACATAGATTACATTTACTTTGCCCATGTGTTTTCTTAATCAACAAGTTACAAATTAAATTTTATGAAGCATAAATATAGAACTACTTTTATTTTTATCCTCTGTTAATCCATTTTTTTAATGTAGTGCTAGTGTAAGTGTGGCTTGTGGGTGTGTAGTGTGTACTTAGTCAGTTACACACCAAACAGTGCAAAGTCTAAGTGTTAAAATAAACATCTGACATTTGTTTTATGATGACATATAAATGTAATTCACCATGGTTGTACTTTGAGATAATCAAGTTCAACCAACAACATTTCATTAGAGTTGTCATATTTTTTAAGCAATTTTAACAACAAATTTTTAATAGAAGGCATTTAAAGTAAGGAGATTGTATTTGCAAGGAGACAGAATCGAAAGTATATCACTTTAAGGGTAGCCATAAAACTTGGAGTAGGGTTTCAGGAAGTTGCAATATTTCTTCTTAGCCAGGGGTAAGCTAAGCAGAAGGCAAAAAGAGTTAGCTTAAAACCACCCATTAGACAGTTTCTACTGTTAAGTGTTCACTTTATCATTTTTCTACTGTTCTGCAGGTAATAATTCATTGACGAACATGTTATCAGAAAAGCAGTTCCAGTGCTCCATCTGTAAACAAGTGTTCAGTGAACCAGTCACGATACCATGTGGACACAACTTCTGCCATGCCTGCATCCAGGAGACGTGGGACTGTGATGAGCTTTGTCAGTGTCCTACCTGTGAACGGTCCTTCAGCCCTCGACCAGAGCTGAGCATCAACACAGCCTTCAAAGAGCTGGCGGATACATTTAAAAATATGATTGTGTGCACGTCTGCGACGCCGTTGTCTTCAGCCCAACCTGGGGAGGTGGTGTGTGATGTTTGCGCCACCACGTCCACCCAGGTCAGGGCCCTGAAGTCCTGTCTGGTGTGTCTGACCTCGTACTGCGATGCCCACCTGGAGCCTCACCGGAAAGTGTCCACCTTGAAGCAGCACAGGCTGCTTGAGCCGGTGAAGAACCTGCAAGACAGGATGTGTAAGAAACACGACAAGTTGCTGGAGATGTTCTGCAGAGATGAGCAGAGCTGTATATGCCGGTTCTGCATGGAGACTGAGCACAAAGACCACCAGGCCGTCACGATAGAGGTTGAAAGTGAGCAGAGGAAGGTGGGAAAAGGTGTTAGGAAGTTGCTCCCTTACTTTCCTAACCCATACTTGGTTTAGTTGTTTTGTTGAACACAACCCTGATATACTCACAGGAATTTAAGAAAAAACACACGGCCTTTGTCTAAAGCGCTGAGTCCTTCTTTTAAAGGTTTCATGGCCATCTGCTGCCTCCTAGTGGGAGAGAATCTAATTGATCTGCCCGTCACTAGTGCATTGACGTACTAAGGCAAATTATTTGTAGTAAATAAAGTTTTGAGAGCAATTAAATGAAACTGGATTGTTTTCCATGGTTCACTGCTGAAACTTTAAACCGTTTTCAAACATCGAAATTAGGCAAATGCAAGTCTTAATGCATTTCCTACTAATATTTTTAGAGTTTTTAGTTTAGACCTAACTAAAAAATGGTAAGAAGGAGAGCTTGGCTATTCAGTCATCTTGGGAATGCCAATGGCTGTCAGGCCACACTACATTTTATGATCTGTTGTAGATCCAGATGATGCAGACAGAGGATGTTTTCCAAAGGATGACCCAGGAAAGACTGAACAAAATTGACGAGATCAAAAGCTATCTGAAGCTCAGCATGGTGAGTAGTATGAAACCACTAATGGAAGCTTCATAAGGTCAGCAGCATAGCCAGCTCTATGGGTAGGCCACCTTGACCAGGCATGCTGTGGCTGGATGTTTTTGTTCCAACTAATCAAGAGCACACAGTCCAACCAATCAGCTGTCTGAAGTCTGTATTAGTGGTTTGAATGTGTGAAGTCAGGTGTGCTGCTGCTTGGTTGGAACAAAAACCTGCAGCCACAGCAGCTCTTTGAGGAACAGTTTGTCCACCCCTGACCAAGACAGTCAATTCAGGCACCATCTGCTGGTGAGCAAAGCTGTAACTCCTCTCTGTCAGGTAGGTCGTGTCTGTCATTAGCAGAGCTATCCATGTTCCAAAGTGATGGTGTCCTACGTGTCTCTGATGACTGTCTCTTGGTCCGGTCAAAGACAACTTTCTGACTCTTCCTGCAGGTGAATGCCGACAGAGAAAAGAGAGACAGTGATCGTCTCTTCACATCTCTGATCCGCTGCGTCCAAGAAAGACAAAGTGACATCATCACAGAGATTGAGGACAAGCAGAAGGCAGAGGAGAGGAGGGCAGCAGAGGTCATTGATATGCTAGAGGAGGAGATCAAGGAGCTGAAGAAGCGAAATGGAGAGCTGCAGGAGCTAAAGAACACTGAAGACCATCTGCACCTCCTACAGGTGACCTTAAAGGGTTCTTTTTGGTTTTGGTTTGATAGAAAAAAGAAATTAAAACTAACTTCTTCTTTTTCAAAAACACAGAAGCTGCCATTGCTTACCTCCCCTCTACCTTCAAGAAAGTGGACGGAGATCACTGTCCACACTGAGCTCTGTGTGGGGACAGTTAGGAAAGCATTGTCCAAGGTGGACATCACATTAAAGAATGAGCTGGACAGCCTCAAGAAAGAAGGTAAAGTTTAAGGGGTTTTATCTGCAAAAAACACCACAAGCTTCTGGATGTGTCACGCAGAGTAAAAGAAAACAGTTAAAACTACATAACAGTGGTTCTCATTGTTCTTTTGTTGACAGAGATGAAGAAGATGCAGAAATATGCTGGTAAACTGACATTTACATTTATATGAACACTTTTAAGCAAACAATGCTATTTTATATATAAAACTTAACTCACATCACAAGGTTTGCCCATGTATAACATCAGTCGTTTGACGTCATCTCACCTCAAACTCTCTGTGTCTCATCAACTCAGTGGACATAGTGTTAGATCCCGACACTGCACATCCGAACATCGTCCTGTCTGCTGATGGGAAGCAGGCTGGTCGTGCTGAGCTACTGCACATTGTGCCTGACATTCCCCAACGATTTGACCCTGTCATCTGTGTCCTGGCCAAGACAGGCTTCCTGTGTGGGAGGTTCTACTTCCAGGTCAGTTGTTTTTTTCTTAAATAGGTATAATCACAACATAAAACTGAATCTAGAACAGATTTTAATACTAGAAATTAAGTAATAAGAATTTCTTTATTTTTATAGTAATTAGTAATAGTGATTTGCTAATCTAGCTCATGAACCAGTAACAATAAAATAAGAAATGAAAACAATATTTAAACTCAAAACAAAAAACAACAACCATCAAGTATCAGGTATATTTTAGAGCAATCTCCTGGAGAACAGCAATTGTGGTACAATGTATTTTCACTGTAATTAGCTGATAGCTTAACTCTGCTACTACCTGTTACAAGCTACATCAACTTGAGTGCCTCAAACTCAGCAGTGTGTTAGAAATGAAGGGACTACAGTTTGAGACAAAGCTGTGGTCTCCTCAAAGACTCCTTGTGTAAATATGATCCTGTTGGTTTTATAAATATTTTTGACTCATTAACCAGGTCGCTGTGGGGACAAAGACCTTCTGGGACCTGGGTGTAGTCAAAGAGTCTGTCAACAGAAAAGGCATGATCACATCCAAGCCAGAGAACGGCTACTGGACGGTGCGCCTGAGGGACGGGGAAGAGTATCGGGCTCTGGACTCGCCCTCTGTCCTCCTGGCTCTAAAGGAGAAGCCTCTGACTGTCGGGGTGTATGTGGACTATGAGGAGGGCGTGGTGTCTTTCTTCAATGTTGAAAAACAGTCTCATATTTACAGCTTTACCAGCTGTTTGTTCTCAGAGAGAATCTTTCCATTTTTCAGCCCAGGTGTTTCTGACGAAGGGAAGAACATGGCACCGTTGGTGGTTACAGCAGTCAACCCTGAGTCTTAGACTTCTGATGTGTCTACAGAAACTTAGGTTTTATGAGTGATTAAAAAAATCAGTTAGCCTGATAATAATATGAAGAACATGTTATTAAGTAAGTTATTTTAAAAAATCTGTATTATTTATGCAAACCTTGCTCCTTTAGGATCATAGCATTTATGGTAGACTAGAGGTTCTACTGGTAAAAAGAAAATGAAGACCAAAGTGGCTCACCTATCCATGTTCTAAAGCAGTGCTTCTAGAACTTTTTCTACTCTGTACCACCTGAGAAAACCTTGATCTCTCTGAGTACCACCATGATGACCAACATTAGAATATAGCAGCAGAGGCCTTCACTGTTAGCTTCCACCACAGGAGAGATGTTTAGAAATGTTTATAAAGATGTTTATGTCTAAATGTTGTATTAATTGTGCATGGTATGTTGCAGATTTATTCAATTGAAAATGTAAATGTGAAAATATTATAATAATTTCCCCCACGTACCACTAGAGAGCGCACACGTACCACCAGTGGTACACATACCACAGTTTGAGAACCAGTTTTAAAGCTATCACAGAACTGCTTTTTTTGTTTGCACAGAAAGCTACTTCTACAAAACTCCAAATGTGTTACTGCTTAGGCTACAGTAAAGACACAGCAACACACGATGGCATCTTTCTTATATCTCCTTATATACCACTTAGATTATTTAAATAAAATTAATATAATGCTCTCCAGTTGCAAAAATACAGACCAAATAGGCCTTGAACCTATCTTAAGGCTAATCTTACCTTATATGTGTTTCTCTATAATGCTTTTGATCTATTATCCGTAACTATCTTTATTTCCAATGTCTTTTACAACACAAGTCATTTAAGATTTAAAATTAATTTTATTCTAAATCTGTGTCCAATTTCTTTTAGCTTCGGGACTTTTTGGCTAGATATCTTCCTGTCGTTTTTTGTTACCTTTCCACTGCTCCCTCCAAAAATCACTTCATTTTGTTTAAGCACATGAGCATTTTTGGTTCTTCATTGTTTTTTGTATTGTTTTGGGAAAGGGTTTCTGTCAGATTTGTGTGTGTGTGTTTTTGTGTTGATCAAATTGACAGAACATTTTAGTGATAGCTGTAAGATAAAAAACTAAAGAACATCTCAGCCACTGACAACAGCTTTAATGTGATGCACAGCATCTGTTCAGTTGTGCAGTCAGATATCAGGGGCTCCGTTTGTCTATTGCTATTTTGAACAAAGCTTTTCACATTTGCAAATAAAATCTGAACTTCTTCTCTAGCAAGCGTGCACTGTCTCTTTGTAGTTTCATGGACATTTGCTAAGGAAAGCGCCAGACATCTGCTTTGACTAGATGCTGTCACAGCATACAGGTTTTTTAAATTGCAAAATCAAAAGAAATTAGACAACGCAGTCGCTGCCAAATCCCAAAGTCAGACACATATATTTTGATATGTAATGATTTATGGTTAATTATTTCATTGAAAACTTTTTTACAATGCCAAAGAATAGTTTGGTTGGAATTTTTACGCACTATGAAACTGCTAAAATGAGGTGGCTCGACAGGTGCCTCAACTACAAAGGGGAGCTGCAAGAAAAGTTGGGAAGTTTGAGGGCTAGCGTTGGGTTTTATTCTGTATTCTTATAATTTAATTTTATTTGGAAATTATAAAAACATTTTAAAGACAACAAAAGGATAACAGTTTCATAATTTTGCCCAATAAAAAAATCTTTAATGTTTTATGACGATGTATGAGACAAAAAGACTTGGAAATGGAGAGGATGATATGCAGATGTTTTGTCCTGTAAATTTCTGCCCTTTGATCCAAGAAAAGAGAAAAACCAAATCAAGTAACAGAAACAATGACGGAAGAACTTCTTTCTCTCCTTGCTTAGGTTTTGGTAGTTTTACTTCAAAAAATACTTTAAAAAGTAACAAAGTGGCAGACAACAGTGATATTGGAGCTTTTGGAGGACATTTTTTTTAAAAGAAAAAGAACTAAAAGAACAAAAACCATGATTCATGCACTTGATTTTATCCTGTTTCACTTAGGGCAACTGCAAACAACAGAACAGAGTGAAATCAAACAGCACCACAGCTTTCATATACGTTTTTAAACCTGCTGTCTTTGTTCCAAGCTACTCAGGTGAGGATACATGATTTTGGGAGACAGATTTTATTTTCTTTATTTTTTAAAGACTAGAGAGAAGAAGATTAGCTGCAGGGAAGATATACGTGTATACTAAGACATTTCCGTGGATTTCAGGAGATTTTCTTTGCTGCGTCTTTTTACGTCCCAGTTGTAGACTCGTGCCATGTCTGTAATTGATAAGCTGAGGAACAACAGCAGGGAAACGTGCAACAGTTTTTCCACATTGACTAATTTTTTTTTTAATCACAAATTAAAGCTGGAAACAAACCTGTATTTGTCAATTGCTTGTATGCTTATCTACTCAGCCTGTGATAAAAAGTACTTTATTTGTCCCATTAGGTACATTTTAATGATATAAGTGCTTACTGTACATACCCCAACATATGCTTCTCAAACAGGATCCTTTGAAGTCTCTGCTATAAAGCAACTGTATTTGTCCACTGTGCTGAATTAGAATTTAAAAGGATACTGACTTCGATGGTGGTGAACTGGTCTCGCAGGAAATCCAGATCCTCCATAAGTGTCTCTAAATTGCGAGAAGCTGTTGAGAGGTTCTTCTCAAGCAACGCCTGGGCTTCATCAATGTCGTACTCTAACATAACATTAGCCTTTGGACAGAAAAACCAAGTGGCACCATTGAAAGAACATTGATAGCCAAAAAGTGACCAATTATATATAAATTATTAGCTTTTGATTGAAAATCATGAAATAGTGATCACTGAACAAATACATAGATTTTTTTTTTTTGAATACTTAGTACCAGTTATTGAATAATCCACCACAGATGGGTGCTTAGCTTACCCCTAACCATAGACAGACTTTGTCTGTAGGGGGCACTGTGGCGTGGCAGTAAACATTGTCAGCCAACAGGAAGTGTGTCTCCATGGGTTCTGTGGTGTCCTATACATGGAAAATTATCCAGTGTTAAACATTTGTCAAAGATTAAAAAAGAATCTACAAGAAAATCTTTAGAAATTATACCTTTTTCTTCTGCATGTGTCGAAGGATTTCTAGCGTCTGGGTGATTTGTGGGATCTGATTTTTCAACCTAAAATGTAAAAGAGCAACTAGGTCAAAAAAAAAGGTATGGATGGTTGTACTAAGCTGTTTTGACAACAATCCACAAAAATCCCTAATACTGTTGAGAGAATATGATTGAAGAAAAAAAAAAATCTTTATGGTACCTGAGTTTCTTTTGTGACAGGTTGAGTTCCATGTACTTATATTTCTGGTACTGTTCGTCGAGCTTCCTCAGCACTGCATCGGCTGTCTCATTGCCAGGTTGCTTCATGAAAGTGTCAACATCCTCCTGAAATAGAATAACAAAAAAATTAAACCACAACGGGTGGGCTAGAACCGAATTTGCAAATACACTGCTGTGAACATCATATTCTTTATTTTTACTGCACAAAAACATTAATAACTGAACAAAAACGAATTGTGGTTATTGACCATGCTGATGGGTGAATGATTTGACAAGTACACATTTTAAAAACAAAAGTTGATTTACTAAAACAATTTTTTACTTATTATTTATGCGTTACGATAACCCCTATTACAAATAGTTCGGTATCATGATGACATGGTTTTAATTTTCAGCAAATCAATATTAATAATTTCATTCAAGCTTAAGTTATATAAACCATTGCTTGTTTTAGTTTAACCGTTGATGGTAAATCTGCTTCTATTGTTGTTTCAAAACAAAATAATATATGATGAAATGTATAAGTTAAAATGAGCCGCAGCTGCTGCAGCAATTGTCTGTCATGTCCATAGATGGAGTCGAGCAGCCGCCCAGTCCATCTCACACACCGAGATTACCAGTTAGCTCAAAGCTAACATGACTCGACCCGCAAATCCGTCGCACCCGGCCATGGCGTCAGTTAACCGGCTAAATTTCTATAATGAGCACCGTCACGCGCTGAGGAGAGTAGACTTAAACGAACCACAAACGCTGCTTCGGGGATTCCGAGGTGTTTTTTCCTGTTCGCCTGAGCGGCGTTGCTGTTGTCTATGGTCGCCGCCATCTTGAAGAAAGAGGCTGCTCCTTCCTTCTTCAGGAACACATTCCGAGCGTCTAAAGAAAGGAAAAGGCCTCTGCTGCCTCTAACGTCCGCAGACTGCAACTGCATCCGGGACATTCAACATGGTATGACTCACTGCTGTTGTTCCTTGCATTATAGGTTGACCGAGTTGAAGTAAAATTAAGTCACAGTTAGGCTAAATTAATATGACTTAATTTGGTGTTTTATTACTAGTAATAGTCACTTGTTTGGGTGGGTTCTTAAAAAGATTATAGTACTGTATTCCCAGCCAATATTCTCTTTAATGGCCAGTAGGGGGCAACATCATCACTTTGAATCACCTGTAAAAATACAGGCGTCACTTTTCGGGGCACTCCATTGTGTTTGCTGGGTTTCAATATAACACTAGTTTAGTTTCAGAAACCACCATAATACAAGAAATGTAAACTTTAGGCTTTTTTGCTTCAAACGTAGTGTCAGTAAATCAGTAGCTGTCCTCGTGATGGGTTAGCAGATTTTTATTAGCTACAGTTTATGCATTTTTGTGCCTTTGAACCAGTTCCACTTGTATTGTATTATATCATTTCCATCTTTTAGCTCTCTCATTTTGCACGTCTTTAGCTTTCTGGTATTAACGTTTTATATATTTAATAGTCTAGATTTTTACATCCATTGTTACCTTGCTGCAACAGAGGAACATCAGAATTATAACATTCTGTATGCCTCATACTTATGGCAGGACTGACAAAACGTTCACATTATTTTTGACATGGCATAGATTCATTGGTCCTTCAGTACAAGAGTATTTAAAAAAAGATGAAAGAAAGTTAGTAAAGTAAAGACATCACAAAATTACGTTATTTTTCCAGTCACGTTTTTATTTTTTCAGTACATTTTTGGTGGGTAGATAGATTACTAGAGGAGAGGAAGAGAAACTGTCGGCTTTTACCAGGAAGGTTTTTGAACCGTGTTATACAGTAGAGTCTGTACAGCTAAAGAGGAATTGTAAAGAGGAAGTGTACGATCACTGTTCATGTGAATAAAAAGTTACACCAACAGCAGGAAATCATGATTTTCACCCCAACAGCATGCTTCAGGATGAGGGACTGATCACATGTGGCCTTGTGGATAATAATCTAATTTTGTATACAATCGCAAAGGAAAAGATTTGTCAGGTGTATCTTATAGAAATGGCTTGAAACTATCTGTCCTGGCAGAATCCTTTTTAGAGATAAACTGATTAAAATGTTACATTTATTTTTGGCAACTGTAAAAAAAACAAGTTTGATTAAAACCTCACTAAATAAGATCAAGATATTGTTTTATTTTTCCAATTTTGGTTCACAATATTCTATTCTTTGTTTTTTTAACCATTTTTTCTAATTATATTTGACAAAAATCATCCAGGTCGCACATTTCTGTGACTCATAACCCATCTGGGGCGGTGCCATCCTCTAGTATAAGAATCACTGACATCTTACCATGTCCAGTGGGTGATACTGCCACCTGCACTTACAAATGCTCCACTGACCGCAGATTTATTTACTGTATCTGTAACATTTATCAACATGGTCAGTGGTAACTCTAACACATTAAAGAACAGAACCAAAAACAATATCCAGAAGTTCCAGAGAAGGCGCGAAATCAACATACTCCAAAATAAATGTTAGCTTGTAGTGTCCCTGTGCCTGTATCTGTGTTGTGTCATTTTGCTGCACTGACTCTCATGGCTTTATGTTACAGTCTTGTCCATCTTTGTTGGTGCACGGCTGAGTCTCTCTGTCATAAATTCATCATGTTCTCCCTCCATGTTGTCTGCTTGATTCGTCTTCAGCTTCTGAACAATGCTATGTTTTCTTAATACTACCATTCAAATAACCGGCTGGAGCTCCACTGTTCAGGAGGTCCAACCTCAAAAGATACTTCCCAGCTCCCACATTACTATAAGACCACTTAAGCAAGTTTCCACTTAAAGTGACAGAGTCAGAAATGGTTAAGACAGTCTGAAAATTCTTGTTCTGTTAGACTGTATACACACCGAAGGAGTCTGTTACAAACCAGATGATAACAAGCAGGTGTAACTGTGCATCCAGTGTCATCAGAGTGTACTGCAGACAACAGGAAAGATCTAAGAAGAACATCCACTGTATCCTCTGATTCCTCAATTGATCTCTTACAGTGGAATGTGGTGCAATTTGTCCAGAAGGAGATGTGATTTAAGAGGGTGACACTACAGAAAAATAAAAAGGCCCACCATGTAGTTGCATATTGGAGGAGAGGAAACCTGGAGTTATTGTGGAAATGAGAGGTGAAGAAAGGCATGATGGGAGACAGAGTGATGACAGAAAGAGAGTTGTTTTGTTGTGGTGATGGACTGAAACAGATTATATTTCTGAGGCCCAGACTGGAAGGGATTTCCAGCAAGAAATCTGCCATGAGAAAAAGATCATGAATCATGGGAGCTCTCACACGGGGACGAGCATCTGTGTGCTTCCTCTGGACCTAGTAACATGTATATGGAAGTAGACATGTTGCTTCAGCCTTCCATCCCATGCCGACGATGTTCCTCTGTTGAATCCTTCAGCCTATCCACCAATTATCAAAGAAAAAACATGAGACGGTGCAAAGGTTTCCATCACGGGGCCAATGCCGCAGTCCGTCAGTCATTTTCCTTTTGATTCCTTCCTTCACCTTCAGTACCGTCATTTAGGTTCCAGATCAACAAAGACAGCGGCGGTCACTCTTCGTCACCTCCTCCGAGGAGTGAACCACATTGGGCACGAACCCACTCTTCACCCCCTCCCAACCCTCCTGAATCGTGATGTCGCCGGACCGCACCAAGGCAAAGATATCCCTGGTCAGCTCAGTGAAGGCGTGCTCCACGTTGATGGCGTCACGGGCCGATGTCTCGATGTATCGCATCCCATACGCCCCAGCCAACTTCTCTGCCTCCTGACGGGTCACCTAGAACAACAAAAATGAAACTGTGCCAAAACTCTCAGAAGATCTGGGTTATAACTGGTCCCTAACCTCTTTCACACCACGGGTACTGGTTCCCAACCTGGTGGTTGGGGACCCCGGTATATGTCATACAAATTCCTTCAGGGAATGTGCAACAACACACCTGGCGTTGTGCTTCCAGGTCACACTTGTGTCCCACCAGCAGGAAGACGATGCTGTGTGGTTGGACGTGGCTTCGAGCTTCCTCCAGCCAGTCGTGGACGTTCTGGAAGGAGCGGCGGTTGGTGATGTCAAACAGAAGGAGCCCACCCACAGAGTTGCGGTAGTAGGCCCTGGTGATGGACCTGTAGAAAAATGAAAGTAAAAATGATCAACTGCTGTAGTAAAAAAAAAGCCTTTAATCACTGTATAATATATACTGTAAAATATAATTTTTTAAACTGGGGACCACGTGAACATGAACAGAAACAATACATAATAAACTCAACTAAAGAAATTGAAGAACTCATCAATACCAATTAAAATTCCAATGATATTTTGTCAGTTCTTGATTCATGTTTGAAATTATTTCACCATAGGATTGATTGCTACGCTGTTTTAGAAACATCAAAGTCACGGAGGACTGTACCAGGGCACTAACAAATATAGTAAAGCAGTGAATCAATCGTGTGTTTGTGAGGAGGAAGAATGAAGCCTTTGCTGCTTTGTTTCCTCTGACTCTGCACACTGCACTGTTGGGACAGTAAGATGGATTTAGTTAAATATGTGGGAATTATAAAGTAGTGTTCTGTAACACACAAGCCTGGACCAACCACATCCACCATTAAAGTTCTCTTCGCTGGCTTATCTTGACCTAAATTAGCCTACGGTGAATGGATGAATGGTGTGAACTTTTCTGGTCCTGATGACGCAGAGTGCTTTACACTACTGTCTGGAATGGAACTCACAACCCTGTTGATGTGAGACAACGTATTATTCTCAGCACAGACAGGAAATTTCAAACAGCACTGAGTTTGCATTTTCAGTTGCATTTGCTGAAACCATGCCAAATAGAGTGACTATATTTTCAGTCTGCGGTGAATATTTTTACTTTGTTCCCTTAAACACACTATCATACATACAAATGTATTATTTCCCATAGTTTACATGTTCCAGTTCCCTTATTTGGGAACTTATTTTTCTTCTCTGGCTGAAAGTTCTCCCTCTGGTTGTTTTCTCAATTTCTTTTCTCAAACACCATTTGTATACCGGAACTCTGCAGGTAGAAATTCAGGTTTTGACGACCCCAGGCTAACTTTAATGTAAATCAACAACTTCTTGCATAGAGAAACTTATGCTGAATATAACAAGTAAAGTGTGAAAAATCTGACCATGGATTGAGTATAAAGTAGACAATTCCTCTTACTGTTTGTTTTTCAATTATATCTGACCAGCAGGTTTTTTCAGCTGCACCACAACAAGTTTAAAGTCAGACATACTTTCACAAAAGCATCAGCCAAAATGCCTGTCTACCTCTCTGAAGATCAGACATCCACACAATGGTACTGAGAAAAAAAAATTGCAGCTGACACTTTCAGTTTCGTGGTAACTCAAGAATGACGGTAACGTCCTTGCGGAACTTCCCTGCTGGTAACAGTTTGTTCAATTCCAGATCAACTTATCTTCTACCACAATGAAAATCTTTTATGTTGAACATAGTTTCTCTCAATCAAATGTATTCATTTATACAGAAACATAGAAACTACATTGTGGTGTTGGGATAATATTTTCACATTTTGCCATATAATATTTTGAAAAAATTACATTTCTCTGAACCAAATTTCTGCATAAAATCCTTATTTTTCTTACCAGCTATTCTAATCAAACTTTAATAATGAAATGAAGTAAATGTCACACGTCCTGAAGCAGAAGGCTTTGTTTTTCTCTAAATTTTTGCCACTAACCTGACCTCTGTGTTGTTAAGACATGAATTTATTTGGTATACATATTGATATATATTTTTTCTTATTAATTTTATTTAAATAAAACATCTTATAAATAAACATTACTTTCCTTTTTCCAGTTAAAGATTTTCAGAAAGTATAGTCAACAAAGCGGACATTTTTAAACTTATAAAAAATGTAACTTTAAAGTTAAAATAGTGAAAACAATTATTCCTACCAACCTTGAGAAAAAACTATTCCACCATACTAGATTGATTATATTTTTGTCGAATGTACTTTTCCAATTATACTGATTATATAAACATATTACATTTAAAATTATTCTTTGTTGCATTTTATATATTTATTTGTCAGTTATATGACAGGTATGTCTTATATAGATAATGCTCATATATTTGTTATACAATGTAAACGACGTCTGACATTGTGTCTGGATGTGTCCATGTATAAAATAACGTGTGATGACGTAAACGGAGAGTTTAATGATTACATGTACACGAACAACGCTGTAAATGCGTGTTCTATGTTTCCCCCCGAAACTCTTTTCAGCCCGTTTCTTCTTCTACGGCTTCTTTTTCTTCTTCTCCGCTTCCTGTCCTACCTGAATCGCTCTTGACCCGCCGTGTCCCAGATCTGCAGCTTGATCCTCTTTCCGGGCTCGATCTCCACCAGGCGGGAGAAGAAGTCCACGCCGACCGTGGGATCGGAGACCTGAGCGAAGCGACCCTCGGTGAACCTGCGGATCAGACACGACTTCCCTACCGTGGAGTCCCCGATGACGATCAGCCGGAACTGGTAGAGCCAGATGGCCTCCATGTCTCCGTCCGTCCTCCTGTCTGTCGCTGCCGTTCACTATCGGCGTCTGTGGCGCTGTGGGCGCTGCACAGGTGTCAGAGAGCCGAAGAAAGGAGGGAAAAGACGACAGAAAACACACACCAATAAAGACATGCAGGGAAATAAACGGTAACATTACAAATAAAAGACGGCCAAGTCGTACTGCTTTCTTACCGCCTTACATCGCGCACTTCTTCCATTCATTTATAACTACTAACCTTACGTTCCTAGTACCCCCTCCCTCCTCCCCACACTTTGTTCATTCTCTTGTCCCTGCCTACCTTTCAGCTGTCTTTCATTTTTTAGTCCTGCCTTTTCCTTTCCTTGTGTCATTCCTCTCTTCCATCTAACTGCCCCTGCTTCATTTCCTACCTTTGACTTTTCCTCCTTTTCCCTCTTTCTTTCTCCAAGGTGGAGGAGGTGGAGGAGGAGGTAGGAGTGGCGCTCTCTGTCATGGGGTTACAGTAAATGCAGACCACAGATTTTATTGTTGGTGTATCTGTGTACACTGATGAATAAAGCTGGGTTTTGTTTCTCCTTGTGTTCTCTGTCCTTTCCTACTTTCCTTCTTTAATTCAAACCAACTGTCTACACTAGCTCCCCTCTTTTCTTCCTTTCTGTTTTTATTCCTTCTTCATTAATTTCTACCGTGGTTTCCTTCCCCTATTATTCACCTTCTGTCCTAAAGTCCTGTTCCTTTAGTTCTTCCGTTCTTTAATTACACCCTCTCATCTAATCTTCATTTCTCACTGTCTTCTTTTTAGCATTTTACCCTCCCACCTTTCTTCACCTCCTACCCTGTTTAGTTTCCTCATTTTATCTCTGTCTTACTGTCTCTGTTATTTAACATTATTAAAATTATTTAAAACTCTGTCTTACTGTCTCTGTTATTTAACTCTTCTTTTTTCCTTTCTTTGGCCTCCAGCTCAACTTCTGCCTTTCCTCATCCCTTCCTTCCTTTCTGTCTTTCCCCCTTATCCCTACTTTTATTTCAACATCCTTTTTAAGGTATTGCAGTAGTGTAATGTGTGGTACTTTCAATCTTTTCCTTTAAACATACGTTGTGTACTCACTACTATAACATAACCTGAGCTAATCCAGGATATTTGTCCAATCTCTGCTGTACTCTCCAGTGAGCAGTTGGATGGAGGAGGACTCCTTCCTGCAGCCTCCCATCAACCCTCTGACCTCCTCCTCCTCCCTGTCCCTCCCCCCTCTGTGTCTCTCTCTGGAGTCAGGTTGCATGGATGGATCAGTGTGCAAACAGTAGTGGCTGAATCCCTGGTGAGTAAAATCCTGCTGATGCGTTCGGGGGCGTTTCAGCTCAATCATGGACCAGTCAATAAAACCCCACATATTATCACAACATCACTTAGCTAAAAGTACGTTCACGCATACGTGTAAATAATAAAACATACTGCATATGGATCAACCAACCAAGTGCAATCCTAAAAGTACACATTATAAAGTACTTTACCTTAATAATGTGTACTGTTATTGTAAAACATTGAAAAATATTCATGAACATTCCAATTAATTTATGAAGATAACATGAATGACTTCTAAAATATGTTGGAACATTTTAGTCTAATATATATATATATACATATATATAGCATTTGTCTTAGTATTTTTTAATATCCCAGTATTGTTACTAATCGTGGTTATTATTATTGTTCTTATTATTATTGTTTATAGATGTGATATTTGTTATTCAAGAAGACCTTAATGTAGACATGAATATATTGAACTCCTGAGGATGTTTATTTGTAGCCTTGTGGGTGTTCTTGGGGGAAGCTCTTCCTACTGTAACTATTGAAGCTGCCCCTAGTGGCTAATGACAAAATAATTATTTCCTTGTATTCAGAATCTCTCAAACCAGACTTGTGTTTTTATTCTTGACTTCACCTGATGACTTCTAGAACCTCGTTGCTCTACAGTCATTGGATCACCCTGCAGTTACACAATGTGAAAGCTAGGCTGCTTAGGTTAGACCTTACACTAATCCAAAAATGTTATTGTCATGATGCCACCCTGTATCTGAAATCAGACCATATCCCTCCTCTGCATGTTTGACCTGTTTTGGTTTGGTCAAAAATATAGAAAAATGAAAAGAAATAAAATGGAGTTCCAGTTTAAATCCAGTTTAACCTCCCAACCAGGTCAACTGATCGCTGTTACAACTGTGAGTGAATCTTTCTGCAGTTTGTGTGGTTGTCTCTGTGTTTTGTTGTACACGCTACACAACGTTACTGTTGCCTCTGATGCACATGCTTGGTGTGTATCCTGCTGTACTTAACAGAAAGTCTGTTATACACTATGTTTCATGATGCATTTTCCTCTAAACAGGACCATGACATATAGACGCTTCAGTTTCTCAGAGCTAAGACCTAAAACCCAAGACAGTGGCATCACAAATCTGTCACATCTTTACCAAAATGATGGATCAAGTCAAAGTAAGCCCTATCATAGTTCTAGTTGCAGTTACCCCCCCAGTGGCTGATCAACAAAACTACTACTTCCTTATTATTAACGCCAATAGAGTTAAACCGACAAGACTTATGGCAACAGACATGACTGGGTGTAAATGGTGCAGAGGATTTAAAAAAAAAAACCTACGTGGATCAGGACTGAAGAGGACTGTAACAGTCGGACTGCTTTCTCTGCTACTCCCACACTCCTCAGGACCAGGCCGGCGTTGGCTCCATGGCACCGAAGGATCTGGGTGGATGAATGGGTGGCTGTAGGAGAGGGTCCCGCAGCAAAACAGCGACTACAATAACTGATTTAACCCAATGGGTTAGATGTGGTCCAGATGGCGGAGTCTGGAGGAGACAAATGCAGAAAATAGGCCCCGAACTCGTGTGTGTGTATGTGTGTGTGTGGTTCAGGCCTGGCCGAAAGCCGAGAGAAGATAAAAGAAACGCAGCCGGAAAAAACACGGAGCGGCCGCGGGTGGAGGCGCGAACGCGGCTCAGTTGCGCCTGTTTTGTCGGTAGTTTGGTGAAACAGGGGCGCAGACTGTCTGTGGGGAATCCCGGGAAGACATCTCAGTGTTTGCGATGGTTTCACTGTGCTGATGAAATGGCATCATCATCATCATCACCACCATCATCATCGTCGTCCCCTCCACCACATAGCCTGACTCATCCCGCATCAGTACCACTACCGTAAAGCAGCGAACAGAGGCGCAAAAACGTAGCGACAGTTGCAGCACCGTCAAAAACTAAAAATCCAATAAAAGTCAAAATAGCGTTTTGCAATGAACTCGGAGATACATTGATCGACTAAACGAAAGTTGTATTCATATTCGTTAAACATTACTCATATGTCTAAACATGAATTGATTAAATCGTTGCATGTTTAATAAATATTATGGGTCAAACCGTCAAACACCCCACTGAGGGTTGGATGTTTGCACAAAGGGCAAACGGAGTAAAAAAAAATGAACTAGTGTAAAATGTATTGAATTTAAGACAGTTTAAGATTCTTATTTGCTACCATAGTTTCTAGTAATAAGAGTAGCCTTAATTAAAGAAAAGTAATAACAAAATTAAAATTTGAATTTAAATATATACTTTTTCCAAATAAATCTAAATAAAATAAGAAAAAGCCACATTATGTTGTTTGATGTTTTATTTCAATTTGGAAGTTATATATTTTAATTTTAATTATTACTTTTTGTGCACTATTATATGTATAATATATTATATGTATATATATGTATATTTAATTTTGCTATTTTTAAAAAATACAGTGAATAGACTAGATTAGATGTACACGTGAATGTAATTCAATTAATAATATTAATGTAATGTAATGTAACCATAATGCAACCCCCACACGTCCGCAAGAGGGAGCCAATTTACTGAGAAACCTGATAAGAGTGAGTCGGTAGAAGTTTATAAATGATGGGAAATGTAGTTTTGGTTTATATAAGGGAGAAAAAACAATAGAAGAAACAAAACTTGTTCACCGTTTGATTTTTCCAAACTCTCTTTATGCTTTTGTTTGGTTTGTTAGTTTGTTTTTTAGAAATTGACTCAGTGTTGCCAAGTGAGGTAAATGATGATAAACTGTAACAACATGAACACCACAATCGCCCAATCGTCTTTCTCCCTTAGGTGAGTTATTAAGGCCCTAATCCGAACTTCTGTGAAGTGAAGTTAAAACTTGTTTTGTTGTCGATGAAGATTCCTGGATCAGAGAAGTTCAGTGTTTGTTTTAGAGATAAGCAGCAGGGGCGTGGTTCCTACTCAGTCTGTCAGTTTCTCCTCCTCAAACATTACTCATATGTCTAAACATGAATTGATTAAATCGTTGCATGTTTAATAAATATTATGGGTCAAACCGTCAAACACCCCACTGAGGGTTGGATGTTTGCACAAAGGGCAAACGGAGTAAAAAAAAATGAACTAGTGTAAAATGTATTGAATTTAAGACAGTTTAAGATTCTTATTTGCTACCATAGTTTCTAGTAATAAGAGTAGCCTTAATTAAAGAAAAGTAATAACAAAATTAAAATTTGAATTTAAATATATACTTTTTCCAAATAAATCTAAATAAAATAAGAAAAAGCCACATTATGTTGTTTGATGTTTTATTTCAATTTGGAAGTTATATATTTTAATTTTAATTATTACTTTTTGTGCACTATTATATGTATAATATATTATATGTATATATATGTATATTTAATTTTGCTATTTTTAAAAAATACAGTGAATAGACTAGATTAGATGTACACGTGAATGTAATTCAATTAATAATATTAATGTAATGTAATGTAACCATAATGCAACCCCCACACGTCCGCAAGAGGGAGCCAATTTACTGAGAAACCTGATAAGAGTGAGTCGGTAGAAGTTTATAAATGATGGGAAATGTAGTTTTGGTTTATATAAGGGAGAAAAAACAATAGAAGAAACAAAACTTGTTCACCGTTTGATTTTTCCAAACTCTCTTTATGCTTTTGTTTGGTTTGTTAGTTTGTTTTTTAGAAATTGACTCAGTGTTGCCAAGTGAGGTAAATGATGATAAACTGTAACAACATGAACACCACAATCGCCCAATCGTCTTTCTCCCTTAGGTGAGTTATTAAGGCCCTAATCCGAACTTCTGTGAAGTGAAGTTAAAACTTGTTTTGTTGTCGATGAAGATTCCTGGATCAGAGAAGTTCAGTGTTTGTTTTAGAGATAAGCAGCAGGGGCGTGGTTCCTACTCAGTCTGTCAGTTTCTCCTCCTCGCGGCCAAAACCAAACAGGAGGAGCTGCGATGATGATGATGATGATGATGAGGAGGATGTGCACACACACCGCAGGTCTTAAACAGAAAACCTCCATGTTGCTTTATTTCCACCTCTTCAGATCGTTTTATGGTATTTTTGCGTAAAAGTTGCTTCTTCAAACTCTAACCCTTCCACTGGACTTCTGATCAATTCCATCTGGAGCCGACAGTCTCCACATGTGACCTTCAGACCTTCTGTCACCGGGTAAAACACCGGACTTCCCACGGACACGCAGCAGGCGTGATGCAGCAGCAGAACCAGGAACGGCTGCTCAAAGTGCTGGTCATCGGTGACCTGGGTGTGGGGAAGACGTCCGTCATCAAGCGCTACGTGCACGAGGTCTTCTCCCAGCACTACCGAGCCACCATCGGTGTAGACTTCGCCCTGAAGGTCCTGAACTGGGAGCACGGTTCTGTGCTGCGCCTGCAGCTGTGGGACATCGCAGGTGCGTAAAGAGAATATACGTGGTCCAAAAGAACTGGAGCCTCCTAGTCATTTGATTTAAAATGGCAAATGTTACATCTCACATCATCAGCCCATAGCCTACTGCTAGTTAGTTCCTGCTTGTGATTGCAGGGTTGCCGGTTCAAATCCCAGCCAACTAACCTGAGATGTGTTGAGCTGCATTCAAAGTGCAGCTTATTGGTGCTGTGTGTCTGGTGCTAATGATTTCTGTATTTCGTGGAGTATTAAATTAAGAAGCATGGAAATTAAAGTGAGTAAGTACTGAAAAACAAACAGAAATAATAACGAGACTCAGGGGTATAGGTTTGTCGAACAGGATTGGACAACGGCTATAGGAAGGATAAACTGGCACAATAACAGAAGAACTCAGTTAGTTAGATATATGTCTTTATGTTAAAGTTCTTGCATGTATTTGAAACATATAGTCATATTATATTATATTATATTATATTATATTATATTATATTATACTGCTACAAGTGGCAGTATTACAATTTCTTCATTTTCCTTCCATTTTCTCACACTGACGCACCGCGATGGCGCTTGAAAACAAGAAGTGTTTGCACAGAAAATGTCACTGACCCTGGACGACCACTTCTGTTTCTGCAGAGACGACGTGGACTCTCTACGCTCTAATGCGTCTCACTGTCTGTCCCATTAGCTGCTCTGAAAGGAGAGCCCTATGAAGAAGTCCTGTGCGTGTAATTGCACAGAATTTTACTGCACATGCCTTTTGGGAAAACTGACATTCTTTATTTTCTGTCGTCTTTTTCTTATGTCCACTGACAAGTACACACACACACACACACTTCTAGCTGTTAAGCGACTTGACGGCAGATAACAGTTGTTATTTGCATTAACATGAAGAAGTCTGACTCAGACTCCGTGGACTTTACTCCCATGACGACTGTACTTAGGAGATACTAAAATACAAATACACATGCATACAGTACAGAGTACTGGCACACACAACAGAAACTAACTTTTAGATGCTTTTAGAAGTGTGTGTGTGTGTGATCTCTGTTCATCTGTATCACTTCTATAATAGAATCATGTGGAGGAAGTTAGCTGCCTGATAACATCTTATTCACATGTTGAGCCACAAACAAACACACACACACATTTCTCAGTAATTTTGTTATTCACTTTGCCTGAGTCAACCTCAGCAGTACTCTGCAGTATACGATGAGTATGTGATCCAGTAGCCTCAGAGGTACTCTGCTTGCTAAGTGAACATGTGATGTTTATCAGAAAGTGAGGAAAGTGGTGTTCCAGTACTCTCATGTTAGGACATGTAGCGCTAATGTTTACTACTTGTTAAACTCCTATATTTTTAACCTGAACCTCAGTCACAGAGAAAATCAACCTTTCAGGTTTATCAAACATTTCACCCTCAAATAATGAACCAATTTGAGTATTTAGGTGTAAAAGTGACTCAGATTCAGTACCACTCCTACAGGACAGGAACGCTATGGCAACATGACCCGTGTGTACTACAGGGAGGCCGTGGGTGCCCTCGTTGTCTTCGACATGACCAGGCTGTCCACCTTCCAAGCTGTCCTCAAGTGGAAAGGAGACCTGGACTCCAAGGTAAACACTTGACCTTCCTGCTGTACTACAGTAACTTCTATCCAAAAACACAGTTCTATTCACAATTCTAACCAGTACTCACGTAGTACTAAATAGTCGACAGCTGGTCAATTTGTTACTCTCTGCACCCCACCGTCAGGTCACCCTGAAAAATGGGAAGTCAGTCCCTGCTGTCCTGTTGGCCAACAAGTGTGACCAGAGTCGTAACGGCCTGTGCCCCAAACTGCCCAAACTGGAGAACTTTTCAAGGCAGTACGGATTTGTTGACTGGTTTGAAACTTCAGCAAAGGTAAGAGTTACTAGGATAATAAAGACTATTCTTATTTCCACTATTGTTATGTAATAAATGCATTAAAGAAGCATGATAAGGAAGCTCAAACCCTGAAATGTATGTAAGATATTTTCTAACAAGTTTGAGGAAACTTGCAGTAGATTGTTTCGCAGTTAATTTACATCCAATTTGTCTTCCTTTTTTTTTAAAGTTTATTCTGCATTTAATATACTGTGGCTCACAAGAAGCTGTGGTCTTCTCCTTAAGATGCTAAATGTTGCCCTCACAATTACAGCATTTGAGTCTCATAGAATTGATTTGCAAATGAAGAAAGCAGATGTTAAAATAATATTAAATATAGTGATTAAATTCTTGCCAGAAATCTGTTGACTCGTGGTTAGCTATTATCACACTTGACAGACTCTGTGTCTTTTCTGTTTCTCCCAGGACAACACCAACATCGACGCAGCCATCACATGCCTAGTCAAAAGCATCTTGTCTGCAGAGGATGAACGACAAGCCTCGAGCAACGCATCCAGTGCTGCGGCCAAGAGTGAGCAGGATGGCAGTGTCCTCGTTCTACCACAGTTCCATTACAACGAGAAGGAGAATGGACTGGGAGGATGTTCAGGCTGTAGCTCACTGAAAAAACACAGAGACAATGAGTAAAGAATCCACATCTGTGTACTTAAAAAACACAAATGTATTTTTGAATATTTAAATCTTCAAACTGAAGTTTCCATAAGTCATATATATATATCTATATAGTATTAATTATGAAACTATCAAAAAATAAATTGATATATCCTGATTGGTTGCTTAATGCAAAGTGCATAAACTATTTTTATAAATTACATTTTGAATTAATAGCCATTAACAAGAAGAGATCAAATAGGTGTATAACATTGGGGTTTTCTATACACTCGAATAGCATTTATGTATCCAAGTAAGTTTCCTTTTTGTAAGTAACCTTGCAATTTCATATAAATTCCAAAATTATTTGACAATATTCTGATTTCCTGATAAATCATAAAATAAGAAGTAGTCAATACAATTTCACTGTGTTGTCTTTTAATACTGTAATATTTAAATAAATTAAAGACTTAAAAAATACAGTAAGGTCTGCATTTTCTATGGAGGAGTTGGTTTACCCCAGTGTGTGCAGCAGATGGTGCTGTTTTTCCATGCCATGTTTGAATCATCATTTTTTTCCTGTCTGTTCACCTCGAGGCTTCAAAATATAGAACTGTACCTTTACAAATAGGCGACAGGATAGGGCTATATTCTACAGTAAGTACAACTATATTTGCATTTTCTTTATTCACTAAGCAATTTAGAGGTTTCGTTTTGGTTTTGTAGATCGACGCCGTTAATACCATACCGTGGAATCGTTGTTACTGGTTAGCGAGAGTCCTGATGGCCATTTTCGGTCGTTTTGCCTTTTATGACCACCAGAGGTCCCGGTTTTTAAAAACACCACTTTGTAACGCAATACGGTCAACATTTCTTATGAACACCAAAAATGAAACAAATGTTTTTTCTTTGTTTAACATTCAATTGTACTTCTCATTTCACGCCGTAAAACGTGTGCTCATTTCATTCTATTTGTTAACTAGGAAAACACTGTTGCATACAGACAGGGTTTAAATAAAGTTTATTTTGATAAATTGCTCTTATTCCTAAACTCCAAGGAGTGACCATCGTTACCGTTATTAGTTTCTGCCGCTGACCACACCTGTCAATCGTCCTATTTAATTTTCTCCATCTTTTTGAATCTCTCTCCATTATCCCTAATTGTTTCTATTTTTGTCCATTTGATCACGTGATCCCCTCCTCCTGCTCCGATTTTCTGATGCTTCAGTTATTCTTCTCACAGCCCGTGTTTCTGTCCTGCCCCTTGGTCTGCCTTAGTCTCTTGGTTCTCTCGCTCATCTCCACGTCCTCTTGATCTGTTCCTGCTCCTCTTATCTCCTCTGTTCTTCCATGGTCTTCTTTTGTCTCTCCTGGTCTTTTTCCCGATATCTTTTTGTCTTCTCTTGTTGTCTCTGCTCCTGCTTCTTCAGTGATTTTTTTTTGTTGTTGTTGTTTTCCTGACAACCTCTCAAGTTCTATTTCTTGGGGACGTCGCTGTTTTCCAATATTTGCAATTTTCTTTTTGGTAAGTTCTATTTCTTGAAAAAAACAAAAAAACAAACAAAAAAACAACAACAACAACAAAAAACTTGAGTTTTGTGTTTTTTAATGTCTTATTTAATTTATCATCATTTTTATTATTGTTATTGTTATTATCAATTACTTAATTTCTCTCCTCTGGTTTCTTTTATCGTTTGCTACTGTATCTTACTACTGTAATCCTTGCTGTCTCTGAAACTTTGTGAAGAGCCAATGTTAATAAATCTTGGTTAATCAATTAAATTATATATATATATTCTTTTTTTTTTTAATTTCCCACAAACCCTTTCATTGCATGTATCTTTTGTTTGTTTGTTTTTTACTTTGTGATTTTGTTATTTTTACTGCATTTGTTTATAAGATAGATTGTCCTTTGTTACTATTGATCCTTATACAGTGATAACCACCTGCTTTGTTGAAGTATCTGATTCTGACATCTGTTCCATCCTCTTCACAGTGAAGGAGGATGGTCCCTGTGGCTCCACCTGTGAGCAGCCTCTATCTGCTTCTGGTATTACATGTGTGCAGCGGTAAGTGGTTTTTACTTAGACTCCAATATGTTACAATAGAGGCAATGAAAAATGTCCTGGCCAAGGTTAATGTTTGGCTCTAGTGTGCCTTAATAGAAGAGGAAGGTACACATCAGTAAGCACTTTCTTTTACCTTCCTATTCTTTTCTCTCAGTTTTAGCTGTAGAGCACTACCTCCAACCAGTAAGATGCCATTGCATTCCCATAACCGGCCACATCATGTCATCCTTCTACATTTGCTTATCTTTGTTAATCTATCAGTAGAACAAAGGTTGACTTTAATGTGAGGCACATAACAAAAACATTCGTGTAAGCAGTAGCACTAAAAGTGTTTTGAGTGCAGGGCAGAGAAAGAGGCCGGCACTTGTATTTGTTACATTCACCTAAGTAAGAACTGACTGATTGTGACACAAGCTTTAATCAAGGAAAGAAGTCTCCTATTCACATGTATCAATGATCTTGATTGACCCATCAGAGAGAGCTGGCCATGCACAATCAGATGGCATGTGATTATAATTAGGCATTAAAAACCTCCATGTGTTTATTTCACAGCAGTGTTTCTTAAGTCACGTCACATACTCAACACGCTACTAAACAAAAATGACCCCACGTGTTATTGTTCTAATTCTGACATTTCTGCTCTATTTGAATCACTTGTGTAAATCCAGCTGGACAGTTTTTTACACTGGAGAAAGGAAAAGTGTTGTCTGTGGACTTCTAGACAGAAAAGAAAACAGTTAACAAACTTTAGTTTCCAGCCTGAAATATAGCTAAATATAGCAAATATAGCTAAAAAAAAACTGAGCATGTTTGGGTTAAGTTTATCCAGTAAACTCCCTCAAATCTTTTGCAGTATGCTGTTCTGCCTCTGTGCGTGACAGTCTTTACCCATGTTTATTTGTTTGTGCTGTCAGGCCAGACACCGAGTAACTCCCTTCAAACCTCCTTCCTATCGTCAGCCTCGAACCCTGAGTCTATCATCAGCCTCCTGCTACTGGCTCTCACCGTCCTCCTGTCTGGAACCATCTACCTGTGGCTGCTCATGCACATATGCGGGGGCTGTTGTCAACCAGTGGCCGTTGGTGTTGAAGCAGAGGCTCTTGCCGTGATAGTGTGAAGGTCATGGCTCCTTTCAGTGAGAGTATGTGATGGAAAAATTGACACCTGTGAATTGGACTTTCTCTCTGCACAGAGCAGGAACTAAACCGTTTTCATATACCAGGGCCGTGGTCACATTTTCTACAAAGTCTGGGATATAATATATGGAATAACGTTTTTCAATTTTTTTTTTTTAGGAAGAAAGTATTGGATTTGACCCTGCCAATCAAATGTCTTCAATATATTAGATAACAGTTGTAACAAAAGTGGTTGAAATTTAGATTGGTATATATTCCAGATTTGAAGAAGCCATGTTTATTCATTAGCATTCCTTCCAGTTCAGTTCATTGGTCTATCACAGGGACACACACAGAGGCAAACTCCATTCACACACATATTCACATGTTTAGTGAATTCAGGGTGAACAATTACAATAGTCCTGCATGCGTTTTGTATGTGGTAGGAAACATGGAGAAGTGCCCTCAGAGAAGGAACTCGAAACAGGTTAGAATTACTTCCTGTCAGATAGACACATGAGCCACCACACGGCTCTGTGACCCTAAAACTATGTTTATATTTTTATATTAGCTGTAAAATAAAAAATTAGGGTAAACTATATTGAAAAAGGTTTAAAAAATTGTAATAAAGGATTTTTTTTTTACTGCGCTCTCCCAAATGAAGTAAGATCATAGATGATTAGAAGAATACTCGGATGAAGTTTGAGCTTAAACCTTTTTCAACTGAACAAATTACCAAATACTAAGACCAAGATCTGCTCCAATTGTTGCACTTATTCTACACAACATAAAACTATTGTAATTTGTATTTTTGCTAATTGTCTTAGAATGTGGTGGAAACACATTTAAACATTGGATACAAAATGTGAACGTGAATGTTGGGCCACCATGTGCCTCATGCAGTTTGAACACTGAGACGATGTGAACCAATGAAACAGTTGTCATTTGTCATCATTGTGTGTGTACAAATTCATTTTTACCTGAATAATAGCATCTGTGTGATGCTCGCTGACATCTTGTCACAGACTTTGAAGCAGGATGACTTTCTGCTCCTCTTCCTCATCTCTTATTGTTTTCACCGGAACTTGCCCTCATTTTTTGAGCTGTAAAATATCAATTATTTTTTAATTGTATTAATTTATTTGTTTATTGTATCTCTGAGACCACATTGGCCTTGGGCACAAAGCCTTGACTGACAGAAGCCTACAGCCTGTTGCCAGGGGCTACGAGGGGGGCTCCCAGCATCACGCATGCAAATGAGTTGCCATGGAAATACGTTAGGACCACTTCAACAGTTCTGCCTGCAGATGGCGCCGCTACATTCCATGTTTTGACCACAAATAGTCTTGGCCGTGAAGGGAAGCAAGAGGATTCACCCTGTACTGACCTCAATCTCCTCTGGAGGGCGCAAAGCATGCTCTTTTTTTCTTCTTCTCCCTCAATGATATGCCAGTCAGGTGTAGCACCAGTCTGCTTCTCTTTGTGTTTCCGTTTTCAGTCTCATTTACTATCACTCATATCCCATGTATTGTAGTCATCTAAAGGAAGGAAGGGAGGACAGAATGAAAAATGTTGGAAAGATTGAAGAATGAAGGAAGTAAGGGGGGAACAGCCAATAATGAAAGGAGAGAGGTGAAGAGAGGTAAAGAAAGATGTTGGTGTGGAAAGAAGAAAGAGCAAGGAAGAGGGGGAAAGGGCAATAAGGAAAAAAGAAAAACAAATAAGTAAAGGAAGGAAAGAGAAAATAATTTGTAAGGAAGAACTAAAGGAATTCATCTAGGAAACAAGGAATCTGCACTCAGGAATCTTTGCATCTTGGCAAGATGAAACTGTTTGTGACGTGTTGACATCAGTCCATTATATGTAGATATCTGTTCTTTACCAGCTGTACTGGAGGGAGGAGAGGTCATTTCAGGTCACCGACACCTAATGATAAAATACATCACGCACACAGACACGTATGGATGTAGATCTTTACCATGTGTGACTCTCATAAGAGGGCTGCAGCTGCAGCCTTTCATGAGTCTGGGTGTGATGGGTGAGATACAGTAATTTATTCACACACATTCGCTCTGATGTGAAGTTCCTAGTGTGTGTATGTGTGTGTGTGTGTGTGTGTCTGCGTTTGCACTTGTGCGGCTTCCTCTGGTTTTCTCTAGCACACCGTGTTCCATATAGTCTGGAGTCAAACAAGGACACGGTGTCTGAGGAATAATTGAATTCCACCTTAAACAATTATTTTTTTTCAGTCAAAGAAAGAGATACTATACTTTTGATGAACCAAAAATGTCTACGTTAAAGTAATTATCTAATAAAATTGTTTTATAAATATCGTGAATTGTAAAAACGTTATTTTTTTCCTTTAGTCGGCCAGATTCCACTACAATTTAAACCGTGACACCTTAAAGGCAACATTCAGTCCTTGGGTCCTGACCAATGAGTTCTAGGGGCGTTTACAGACTGTCGGAAACTAAGCTTATTTTTTAAATGAGAACTATGCTACTACTGTACATTATATATATATATTTTTTTAACAAAAATCCCTACCATAAATTGCTAATTTGAAATGTATGAAACTTGAGTTTCCCTTAAACAAGTGTTCTCATAAAAACTAGCAGACAGCTTTTGTAAATTATATCATTCGAATTGGAATTTTGTATTGTATGAATAAGTCCATAAAATTAATATATATTTGTACTGCTATAAACAACTCGAAAGCAGCGTCATTTTTGCACTGACTTTTATTTATATGTATACTCAAATGATACATAGCCAGCGTAAGAATATTCAGTTACTCACAATATCCTTTTGGAATGCTTTGTACTATCATATTTGCAACATATATTATTTTTCTTTATTACACTAAATTTAAGATATCATGGATAATCATTTTCAGTCCGTTCATTTAGATATACAACAAACCATTACTATTCATATTTAATTTTTTTTATTAAATAAAAAATAAATATTAAAATGAAATGAAATGTTGTGATAAAAATTATGGGGTATCTTATTAAGTCACAAAGTGGTGCCACAATTTGACTGGAGTACACCAGGGCTTTTCAGTTTTGATTTTGACAATTCCGTGTCTCGTCGAAACACGTGAACGCAGCACAGTAGTGATATCAGCTGATTTTTTTACGCTGCCATTTTGTCCGGTATAGACAGAGCAGTAGCAGTAGTCTCACGGTCAGTCTGAGCGCACATCAGCGGAAGAGACTCCAATCACAGACAGCGGCGCCAGAGTGAACCTTCTGTGGCGGATATTTTAACGAATAAGGGTGAAAAGGGAAAAATAATACGGCGGTAATGGGAAACAGACAACGACAGGACAGCACTAACTGAAGCCGACTTCCACGAGAGGAAAGTAGTGAGCGGGAGTGAGCTGTCAGACTCTAACTTCACGACTCCGTCTGCTTGCCTGTGCTCCTCATATACACCTCTGCCGCTCGCCCGCTCCCTGGCTGCCTGCTGGGGCTCAACCCGCTCCGCTTAGCAGCTCACTGCTAACACCCAGCGGATTCTCTGCTTCATCTGTCGCCTTGCGGGAGAAGCTACACCTGCGCGGGCTGTCAGTCATCCACTACCTGCGTGCGAACCCCGGACAATGTCCTTTTTTCATTTTGAGGTACTTTTCACGCCCAGTGCGGCTTTAACGCACACTTTTACGTGGTAGCCTCGGCTAAGGAGCTAACAAGTAGACGTGGAAGAAGAACTCGACGACTTTTTTTCTGTCGAGATTTGTTGCTCCAAGCTGGGATTTCTAATAATTAATACTTGTTATATTTGTAATATTCCTCTAATCCAGCGCACGTTAACTTTAGTTTTTTAATCAAACAATCCAGGTTTTAAGAACCAGCAATTTAGCTATGTTCATATGTGGCCAGAAAGTTCTTGTCTCCAGTGTTTACAGAATCCACAGTGGAACTCTTTCCTGGTTCCAGTGCTGTGACGAGAACGTTAGCTAACATTGACTAGATTGTAGCAGTTAGCGCTTTTCTTGTTTACAAATCACATTTGTAAAACAGAAACTTGTGCCAAAACACAAAACTTTACTTAATTGATTAAAACATTTATTTACAAACCTTACTTTAAATATAGTGTTGAAATTTAAAAATATGCCAATGGTTTCATACGTTTAAGCATTTGTTAGCAATTGAACAATCAAAACTCCTGCAAGCCTTTTTTCAAATTTGTCAGTTGTCAAAAAAAAATTAATTATTTTGATCACTTTTAGATAACTAGATTTTAGCTAAATCATTAAGCTGAATTAAATTCTACTGCAGAAATCTAGAAATATAATTAATGTGCTAACCTTTTACCATCTAGTGGTGGAGATCAACTTGGCACCATCTCATCCTGCCATAACATTTTCAGACAGTACCATAACTTATTATAAAAGTTATTTTTTAACAATTAAAACACTAAATAGTGTTGGACAAGGAAAAAAAACTATTGCTGTGGGATTTTTTAAAACACATTTATGTTACAAAAATTATATCCCACCAGCTTGAGACACTTTTGTATCTGCGGCTCAACAGTGGGTGTCAAATTGTCAAACCTTTTACCTCCAAGTGACAGTGGAGCCACATTGAATTGCGACCTTTAGGTATCTAGTCCAATTGATTGGATCATCATTGTGCATCAGTTAATTTTAAGGTGGACAATATAAGAAGGAGAAAAAACGAACAAGAAGAGAAACAAAACAGAGGAGATGTCAGGCCAATCCATCACCGATCGGATCGCTGCAGCACAGCACAGCATGACTGGCTCGGCAATCAGCAAGGCTGTGTGCAAAGCCACCACACATGAAGTCAGTGGACCCAAGAAGAAGCACCTGGACTGTAAGTATATTTCTTGTTTGTGTGTGTTTGTGAGTGTGAGATTCCTGCAGACATATTGGATTGGGCTTCAGTCAGTGGTGCACACATTCCTTTACACTACCTGACTGAGTACAAGGCAGGCAGACGATTGCATGGACCTGAGGGATTTGAGCAGCTCAGATCCTACTTCTTAGATAAAGGCTGTTAGCACCTAGAATAAGTATACAAGCTTTAATTAATATAGTACTATGACGATTATTGTAGGACGATTTTTATGCTTAATTTAAATGACTCTTGAGAAACTCGAGAACAACCTAGGATTTATTTAAAAACTTCTACCTGTGATAATAAAACAAATTGTCATTGATTGAATTTTATACAAATTTCCCTTTTTTCAGACAAGCAATGTAATTATTAAAAAGGGTTTGTGAAAAGCATTCTGGTAATATGTCAGTTATCTTGTTCTGTCTTTAAGTCTGTCTCCAAGCAGGCTATTGACATGATCTGGTCTCCCGCTGAGAAAGGAAAAATTTCGTGCTCTCCCTGCTTAGTCAATAAGTCAAAATAAAAACGGAGATGGATGCCATAAATGCTTGCAGATGGTGCTGCAAGGCAGTTGCATATGCAGCATCATATGTGTCTCTTGAGGCAGGTTTGGTGGCCTTTATTTTTGTGGGGCTCATTCCCCAAATGACACATGCAGGTGTGCAAGTTGGGAACAGAATCAGCAAAAGCTCAAATATTCTTGAGACTGCATTCTTGTTTTGGTTTGTGTTTTGAGTGGTTTCCTGTTTAAAGACTCGCATTTGATTCTTTTGCATGTTGTTTTTTCCCAGGAAATGTCATTTCAAATGCATTTCTGATGGAAGTACCCAAGTTCTGTTTCTAGGAACTGTGTTTGTGGGCAGGAGTAGCAGATGTTTGATCGATGCTGCAGCTCAGCTGCATCATATCCATCAACTCCTCCCTCTCCTTGCTCATGCACAACTCTTTGTTGCTGATGTTCAACAAAAGTCATGTATTTTCTCTGTGAACTTTGCATTTTTTTTTTCACAAGCAGTACGCCACACCAAGCTTAATAATTGTGGGATATTGATTTTATTGTGGGAGTGAGGACCTGGGTGCTGCTCAGGTGGAATGATCAGTATGTGAGGCATCACAGGATGACCTGATTGTCATGTCATTAAAGCCTTGGGTGCTTTTCACCATGAAGGTAGAGTCCAGGATTGTCAAGATGTCTGGTCTGTTGTGTTGTCTCCCAAGAGGTGGAAAGTCAGTTTGTTAAGTCAAAGAGCGAGTCAGTTGGCTGTCAGACTGTGTGTCTGTTTTTCAACAATAGTAAACTACTGGTGGCTAAATGGATAAAACCTGTTTTATTATTTTAATTAACTATTTTTCGCATGCCGGTGCCCTTTTCCACTGATGTGCACCCCCGCCCGACACACATTGACACAAAAGCATTACAACCACATTCATTTTCTCTGGTGCCCTCAACCACATCCCCCTTCCCCCTTTGGGGCGTACAAAGTCACTTCAGCAGCTGTGACTGTCTGACAGCAGGTTGTGAATGATCTCAGATGTGTTTTTGCATCAGGTCCCAATAACCCAATAACCCCGACAGAAGTCTCTCAGCATTGCCAGCTCTGAGCAACGGTTAGGCGAGGGGTAGGTGGCGGGGATGCCACCGCTAGTTCCAGCAGCCGTGACATTCATGCATCAGCGACACAAATAGTGCCATTTCATAACCATTTAGTGTCATGATTAGAACTGACTAAAAATGTAAAAAATAATGACTACCGTTGTCTGGCGTTGGTGTTGACTTTATTGTATATCATATCTATTTATGGACATTTTCTTTATGAAAACACACTTGCTTGGTGTTTGTCGCCGTGAATCATTACAAACAGAGAGGGGATTGCACACACAAACACACTTAAATAATGGTGGTAGCTGCGTCGGGGAGCTGAGAGTCGGTGGGGAGAGGAGTGGGGGTGATCAGTGAGCTCAGCACAGGCACCATGAATGGTCATATACTGTATGTCTTGTGTGCCATCACATACACACCATGCATGTCCATTCCAGGAATGTGATTCACCCAGTTAAACCAGAAATGACCTGTGTCTTTGGAAAACGATAGGAGTGTTATTGATTTTTTTTTTAATTATGCCAAGGATGAGATGTAATTTCCTTAGGTGGCCCTGAAGGACTAAACCTTCTCATGCCAGTTCAACAAACCCAACCTAAATTCATAGAGTAATTTCTTTTTTGGTGTACTACCAAGAAATTTGTTGAATGTTTTTTTTTTTTCCTGCACTTTTGAAAAAGCTTCAAAAGTACTGTTATATTGATGGGTAATTAACTTTGTATTTTTTCTTCTAAGTGCACTCTGGGGCAATCTTCCTACAAAAATTCCTGTCTGAAAATTGTTTATCAGAACTTTCCACATCTTATAAATGTACAAAGAGAAGTTGTGACGTTAATACTGATGTCAGATTTCCTCTTCACTGGCTCTCTCTGTTGTCATAGCAACAGAACAGCCAACTGGCTCATGTTTAATGGACTTTAGTTGCCAGTGGAAGTTGAATGGCGAAATAAACTACAGATTTTACAGAATTGTCAAATGTCTAGCAGAGAAGTAAAATCAACTGATAGTCACTTAGGACGTCAGAACAGAATAGCGTACCTAGTATTATTATTATTATTATTATTTGAGGCACTCTTTTGAAGGATCTCACAGAACATGTCACACAACGAGGGTGTCTGCCCCTCATCTGGCACAGAGAGAAGAGTCATTTTTGCTGTGCGCTGCTCTCCTTCTGCACTGTGAGGTTTCTTCGTTTCCAAGCAGGTCCTCTGCGTGCATCGCAGCCCGGATCAGTTCTTGTGCGCGCTGCTTTATTCCCATATCAAAGTAATGATCTTAATGTCGGGATGAAGTACAGTCGTGACGAGTGCAGGGCATCTGAATAGATTTCAGAAACATGTGCTGACGGACTCTACGAGCGTACTTTTCACCCCCTCTTGGAATTTCAGCATTACACTTCGTTATCTGTGGGACTCAGATATATTAAAATATGTCCACACTGAGACATGTTGGTACGTTCAGACAAGACCATGCTGGTCGTGGGTTTTGCTTGCCTCATTATAACTTCCTGTTTCGGCGTGGGTTTTGCTTGCCTCATTATAACTAACCAGATTTTTTTCAGTGATAAAAAAAATTTTGGTGGCCAAATATTCGGTGCATCCCTACTAAAAACGATTTAACCAAATGGCCTTCCGACCTAGGTTATCAAATATATTATCTTAAATGACACCAAGAAGAGTTACCTTTATGTGAAATTCACAACTTCAAATGACGCACTTAACCAGAAGAGGAGTCGCATTAAGACATTTTACCCAACCTTCAGTAATATTTATGTAATAGAAAACATATCTCTGATAACAGAGCTTTTCTTCCACTATCTGCTCTCTATAGGCAGTAATTTAGATGCTGATATTTGGTAGTGATTGGTAGGGAGAGTCACAAGTGACGTGTATGGAATTTAAACTGTGACTATTTGTAATGAATACAGGACGAAGCACTGTTGTGTAGTCCTGAAATATTTTTGTCACGTTGACTGTAGAAAGCATGGTATAAAAGAAAAGCTGTCGCAACAGCTTTTAGTGTGCCAAGATGAACAATAAATATTCTCTGAGTTCTCACTGCACCTGATAGGCATCTGATGGTCAGGACCAAAGAAGTGGGTTTCACTTGGAATTGTAATTTTTTTTTCCTGTACAAAAAAACCCTTAGGAAGGATGCTGACTTAAGCATGACAAGAACTAGCTGCCTATCATGTGACCCAAACATGTTGGCATCATCATCCTGCTGCAACAGATCAGAATTTTACTGGCAGTTATTTTTATACTCCAGTGGTGATTTGTAACAGGAAAGACAGAAACACAATCAAAAATCTTAACCTCTGCTTGTTGGGCTTTTATGGCAGTCGTTCAGCCTGATCCTGTTGTAGTTGAGTGTATTCTCAGGCCATTTGTTTCCCTCCACAGTAGCAGCCAAACTTCTGGTTGCTTATCCAACATTCCAAATTGTTTGAATCAGCCGGCTGAAGTGCTGCTGCTACCACATATCCTTTGACTTCACAGCATGTTGAGCCACATTTAGGCAAACCTTAAAAATAGGTTAGACTTTCTTGACAAATTATCACTGTGCTCTATGTGGTTTTTGGTAGCAGCCTTTTTTAATTAAATAGCTATGTATCACAGATGTGAACTCTTTGACCAACACACCAACTGTCTTTTTTATTTTGGCTGTGTTGGTTGGAATGTATTTAAGTGGTACCTTTGAATGGGTGTGTGTATGGGTGCAGTATTTGTGGGGTTATTTCAAAGTCCCTGTGCATCACACTTTTGTCATAAATTGGATTGAAGTTTTTTAAGACTTTCACACAGGAAAACGTCTCCTTGTGAATATTTGCTTCTTTACTTTTTTACCCGGAATTCTAATATTAGAGTGTAAAGCAATAACAGGTTTTTATTTCCCAATGGCCAAACTGGCAGACAACTTGCTGGGAATAGTTGAATCAAGTAATTTTTTATATTTCCTGATACAGAAGCACTTTCTTTTGCAGTTTTTCCATTTAATATCTCTGTATGTATATGCATAAATGTGTATATGTGTGTATATTGAGGGCTGCAACCTTATGTGTTGTCATGTTAAATAATTCAAAAATATGATAGTTTGGTTATGATTTTTTTTTTTTACTGCAGGACAACTTCATCTGGTAAACTGGACACCTCTTGCTGACTCATGCCAAAGTCTTTGCATCTACAATTTTGGCTTACCACAATCATGAAAACCAGACAATCGAAATAAAATGATTATTGTGCCAATTGTGTGATGTCAATGCAGCAGTACACACTACTGCGCTGCGCAGCGTCCCCTCGACACAAACAGTAGTTTCACTTTCAAGTTTTGAGAGAAAGGAAGAGGAAGTTGAATGTATTGTTTTTGATATTTATTT